CTATACCGCCCTATTATTTTGCCATCCGCAACAGTGACCAGAAACCAGGGCCCAGTTCCTCTACAAGCGTGCAGGCTGCCACGTCAAGATCACACGTCGTTACTCCAGGGGCCCGCGTAGAATATACGATAAGGTAGCATGAGAATGGACGCGGCGTGGACAGGGACCAATCAATAATTGTCACCCCTTATCAACCCCATTTACGCGTAGCCAACCCTTGCTGTTTTCTCATTTACTCTGACGATGGCTTCTCGTGTGGAGCTGAAAGCTCAAAATAAAACTATCGTTCCAGAGGTTGCGTCATCCTCTTCTATCCGCTTCTATTCCTCTCTCTCCGGCTTCCCTCTCCCAGGCACCAACCACCCGGTCTAAACGAGTCAGTCTTCTGATTCTCGGCAACTAATCGTGCTAAACACGACCTGCCACGAGCACAGCACCAATTTTGCACACGAAGGGAGTCAAAACTTCTCCGAGCTGATAGGTGTGACCGATTCCACAAAGCAGAGGCAGGAACTGTCCTAGACTGTCATTTAGCGGAACAAATTGCAGAAAAAAGAGGACTTCTTTTCTTGTCTGAGACTCACGTTACGAGTCATACGGTAGTAGACCCGCACTATGCGCGTCAGTCCAAAATCAGTAATCTTCAGCACGCCGTCACTGGTCACCACTACGTTCCTCGCCGCCAGATCTCGGTGAACGATCTAAAGAAGGAATAAGGGTACGGTGATTAGTCATATCTCCTCATTGGGTGAGGGGACGAAGGGGCGAGGAGTACTATACATGTGCGGGTATGAAGAACTCGCAGCTCTGATATATAGAATGTAGTAACACACTTTATTTTAATCCGCGGCTTCCGTAAAAATTACTTTAAACTAAACTACAAAGAAGGGTAAGAAAGGGTTGCAAGGATCACTGTGACATTCAGCACCCGAATGTTATATTCTTGTTTTAGTTGCTACTAACTGCTTGTTAGTAACTATAATTTGTCATTTCCTCCCGCATAGTCATTTACCGATCTCCATTTGTTTTGTTAAAGCCTCGTCAACCAGCCATACCCTCAGTTGACATACACTCTCTAAAGAAGAGATCAGCATGCCACACCGAACTGGCAGTCTCCAAACGACGCTTCTACCGAAGTGCTCCGCCATAAGAACCGCCTCCAATCCACCCGGCAGCACAGAATAAAAAAAGCAATCGGTGAGTGCCCCAATCGGTAGGACAAAGAGCCCACGGCGCAATGTTTAGGAAAGGCTTACCCTGGTTTTTGTCGGTAACGTCATGCTGC